GCTTTCCATCAGCATGAGAGTGACTTATTATTCCTTCTTAGATTAATTTTTTCTATCAATATGAAGTGGACAGGTTATATTGAATCTATTGCTAGGTCTGTTTCTAAGAAAATAGGTTCACTGTGTTGTGCTAGACAATTTGTTTCAACAGAATCAGTCTTACATATTTATAAGTCTACCATTTGTCCATGTTTTAAATATTGCTGCCATATCTGGTCTGGTACTCCTGCACCAGACCAGATGTGGCAGAAATATTCAAATTTAGAGATTCTTGATAAAATCCAAAGAAGAATTTTCAATGTTATTGGTCCTGACCTGGTATCGTAGCTTCAATCACTTTCCTACTGACATAATGTAGCTTCCTTTTGCCTATATTTTCATGGTAATTTTTTTTATGAACTTTCCTTTATGGTAAATAGACTTTATGAATTTAAGCCCAGTACTAGATTGGTGTCATGTCGCAATCATTTTACATTCAAAATGGCTATAGATGTAACCATAAGTTCTGTTCTAACAGTTTCTTCTGTCACACTTCTCATGAGTGGAACTCTCTTTCAGCTTCTTACTTCCCAGTCAATTTAAAAAAAATTTAAATGCAATGTCACTTGTTATCTTCTGTTCTTTTATTGTTCTCTCTCCTTAATAATGTTTTCTTGTTTTCATATTCTCTAACACTCATCCCCCCCTTGTGTCTTAGTAAAGTGGCTTTATTGTCTTGCTTGAGCTGAAATGATTAAAAAAATCATGCATACGAAAATATACACACACTTTATAAATTTCAGCCCAGTACTAGATTTCTTTCTCTCTTTGGACACTCCATATGCGAGGCATGTTTGAATCTTTGTTTGCACTGGAGGTAAGTTATTTTATTGTAGCGTAGCAGAAAATACATGCAATCCTGGATGAATCATTGGGTTCTCCTGTGCCAGACTCCCTTTGACCATACCATTCCTGATTGGTGCATAAGCACATTGGAATTGAAACTGCACATCCTAGTCACTGAGGAATTTTCTAAAGTGCCCACATGTGAAAGTTGTGTCATTGTCAGTTAAGATTTTCGTTGGTGGACCTTGCTCAAAAAAGACTGATGTTAATTGGTTAGCGACACTGTTATCTGCCACTGGAGAACCAGACTGATACCTTTTATCATTGCGTTGAGTTCTGTTGAATTAATATGCTGAACACAACCAACAAGCATCCTCAACAATGCCTCTTTTCACTTCCAATGCCACTCCTGTGGTCAAAAAACTGGTGTCCATCCATACCTTCATTTTGTGGCCACTCACACACCAGTCCCCACCAACAGGATCCATTTCAGGTACCCTGCTTACTGTCTCAGTTAGCATGCAGCAGATGGCTCATTTTCACTTGTGTCATCCCATCCTTTGGACACTGCACTTGCTTGTTATAGGTGTTTACTATTCTTAGCTAGCCACACATGGGAAAGTGTTCTATAAGCCTGGGACTTTATTTCCTTGCTTCCATCGAAGAGTACTATTTTCCTCCCAGATGTGCAGGCCCAATACTTTGGTCTCATCTTTCAGTCTCTCTGGGTCTTTGCAACTAAGTCCATATTTGGATGGATAGTCCCTCACCTGTGAGGTAGAAACTAAATTTTTGTTGACAAATATGTTGTCTATATAAGCTGATGTGGCATCTTTGATTGATGCATTCTGGGACACAACCAGATTGATGATAACTTTCATAATGAGAGGTGCAACATTTAAGCCAAATCCTAATTGTGTAAAACAATACCTCTTGTCCTTGATCAGCACAGTTTGAAAGGACGACAATGCCTTTGTGTTGCTAACCAGCTGAACCCCAAAAATGCATGCAACTCTGGGCCTCTTTGCCCTCTACAGTAGTTCATTACACATTGATTAACAATTTTATTGACTTATGTATAAAAATCTAGATGTAGTACTTAATGGACATATTCACCTACTTGATAATCACCTTGACCTTTTTGATGATAATTTTCAAATGTGTTTTGTCCCCACAAGGGACAAACAATAATAGATGTTCTGATGTTTAAGTTGCTTTCATAATCTTACTGTAAAACAGTAAGATTATGAAAGCAAGTTTACAAACCCCAGAATGGAGATGGCCACTGTCAACTGTACCAAGGATGTCACTGTTTTCACAAGGTGTCAACCTTTCTCATGATCAACTAAATGACAAACTAACTGTAGCTTGCATCATTCACACAAGAATCATCACATTATATATGTGACCTGGGCGACCTGGAATTACTTCTACAGGAAGTGTTTCAGTGGCACTTCATGGTCTTGTGTTAAATAAACATTAGTGCTGTCATTAAGGCCAAGGAGGCAGAATTTGGTCAAACCTTCCACCAAGAAGCATTCATTAACTCAAGAGTCTTCTCCTGAAAAAGTTGACCCATGACTTCAAGAACCACATAAATCTCATCCAGTAAAGACCAGAAAGAAAAGGATATCAGCTGTTCTTATTGACACCTCTAAAAAGAATGCAACTGAGGCAGAAGAAAACAGAAACCTTGCAAAATAACTAAAACAAACTTCAAACAAGCCAAAGTTTTCAAAGGAAAAAATAAAAGTGGAAAAGGGCCATAAACGAAAGAAAAAATGTAACAGCACTGATGAATTAGCAGATTATGTAAATTTTGTTTGGTTTGCATAGAACCTTATTTCAAGACCTGAGGATTTGATTGATTTGATTTTTATGACTTATCAACCTTTTATAGGTTATTTAAAGCTGGAACATGTTTTTGGATTGTGAGAAATTTGTTGACATAAGGATTTTCTGATATAAGTCCTACTATTTAACCCATAGCTAGCAGGAAAAGGGATTCTAAATTTGAACTACACACCTAGAAAATGAGAAAAAAAAGTCTGATATTTAAAATCATATCACTAAAATCTAAATTTAAAAATCCATTTAACATTTAAAATCAAAATAACATAAAAAAAACTACTTATAAAATAAAATTTATTAGATAAAAACGAAAGAGAACACTTACAATAAAGAATATTTTTGTAAATAAAACTCACTCTTCTTTTAAGAATAAAATATTCATATTCTAAATAAAGCATATTGGGGAAAAAAATAAACATTTTTTTCAGGTTTGCGTAGATATGGGATATTATAAACAAAAAACAGAAAATAATTGTGGCTAAAACTTGTAACTGACATTTTATATAAAAAAAATTGGTTTTGTAAGTTGAAAAATAAAATAAATACTAAAGTGCCAAAAATATCTGGTGTTTGTGTGCATGCATGTATAGGGTGCAATGGATAAATTGTCATCTAAATTATGCAAAAATGAAAATAACACTGACATATCATTTTAACATATATATTTACCAAAATTACACAAAAATATCTTGAAATGCTAAAGAGTAAATTTATTCAATAAAATCACCATTGGCTTCAACCATAACCTTCAGATGACTTCAAAATCTCCAGCAACTCTTCTAGATGGTCTCCGTGTATAAGCTGATGAATGCTGCCATAATCCTTGCCTTCAGCTCATCTTTGGTGCTACCTTTGGTTTCTCACTCAACTGCATCCTACACATAATAATCAAGGGGGGTGGGGTTGCAGTCTGAGGAGTTAGGTGGCCAGATGTAAGGGGTGATGTAGTTGCAGAAATTGTCTGACAGCTATGACTGGGTTTGGCTTGTGTGACATGGTGCCAGATATAGGGTCTTCCAGCAGCCACCCTCATAACCCAGTGCAGCACTACCTCCCCAAGGCATTTGATCAACTTGAGTTAAGTCTGAGGTCCTCATCAACAAATCTGGGAGTTATTTTCTTATCAGAATGATCAGAGTGAATTTTCCAAGCTGACTGTATTTTTGTAATCACCATTAAACTCATCCAATACTTTCTGAATCCTCTGCATTGTCTTTAGATTGACACCCAAACACTCTGAAATGTTTGTATTTGAGCTTCTAGCATGAATGCCAAGTAGTACAGCATGCTGTTTCCAAATTTCTGACAGAATAAATAGCGTCATGGTGCTCCAAAACAAACAAAGCATATGCACAAAATTAAAAATATAAAATGGCGTCAATTTACCCAATACACACTGTATATGGGGGAGTGTATGTATGATTATGTATACATATATGAATATTTAGAATGAATAAGAGTAAAAGTATAAGGAAAGAAAGTTAAAAATGGAGAGATATTTTAATGAAACAAAAAAATAAAAAAGAAACTAAGAAGGAATAAGATTTATAGGATTAATAATTTTTTTAAATCACAAAATAATATGGAAGTGTGAAATGAAAGAGAATATAATAATGAGGGAATAGTAAACTAAGGGTGCCTAAAACCAGAGTATAAAACAGAAATAGGATGGGAAAAAAGTATGAGAGACTGAAAATGTGTAATGAAATGAAGAGAAAAGTCAACAGTAGAAATAACAGTGCAAATTTATCATTAGGCTTCATGAAAATGTCAAAGCACCAACAACAAAAATAATAACAGTAGCTGTAAAGGAGGTAATTTTTAGTTCTAAAATTGACACAAGGGGATGATGGAACTGGAGCTCAATGTTTTGGACTCTATACTTTCCACAGCTTGTGCAAAATGAAATAAAGAATACTGAGAAAAAGCAAAATTATATACACAAACTGTGTTTGTGTGTGTGTCTGTGTGTGTGTGTGTGTGTGTGAAAATATATGAGATTGAGAAAAAGTATTCACTTTATAATTGATTGTGATATAAATATCCTAAAGAAGTGTTTAGCTATAGTTATTAAATCTTAACAACAAATAAATTCTTTCCAAATAAATGTTTCTATTGACATTTCTTTTTTTCAAGACAAACTTTAATATTAAATAATCTCCTAAAGAACTAAATTTATAAAACATCACTTTTTGATATTTTCTTTAAAAGTCAAACAGCTTGTGATCTTTCTTTCTTCATAGCTGATACAATTAACAGTCTGGATTGGATTATTCTTTAATACAGCAGAGAATAAATTTTAGAAAGAAAGTAAAACAGAACATTTAAGTAAAACAAAAAAAGACAGAAAAGGATAAAAATACAAACAAGTAAAATAAACATATGAAAGCATGCATATCTAGGTGAGAAGGATAAAATAAGAAACATTTTGTAATGTGAAAAGACACTGGATGTAATCTGAAGAAAGAGAGAGAAAAGATATAGAAAAAGAAAAAGTGTAGGGAAAATGTATCAGATAGAACAGGAGAAAGATGAAAGAAACCTGGGAAAGAATGAAACAAAAAATAGGGATAAAAGATGCAAAAATTAGATGCAAGAAATGCATTTACAAATAGGAAAGGAAAACAAAGTAAAAAATACAAGTGAGAACAAAGGACAATTGTAAGAAGAGAGAACGTGTGGTTATCAGCAAGGACAGCCTAAGATATGTAACAAATTGGAGATGTCAAACTCATTCAATTTAACTATCTGGAAAGTGCTTTTAACAGATGACAAAATGTGATACCAGATTTTGGAAGCACATTGGAATAAAAGTTTGTTTTTTCCAAAAACTAAAAGTATTAAGATTATAAATACCTTTAAGAAATAGAAAAATTTTGTGAGAAACATAGAAAAATGTGCTAAGCTGATATATAATATCATTTCTCCTATAGGGCAATGGATGATGGTGTAGTGGACCCCTAGAGGGTGTGTGATATAAAATAGCCTGTGTGCGCAAATAAAGAGTCACAGGATGCCTGCTAATGTTTATAAATTAGAGATGTGAAATCTGACAGGTGGAACAAAAATGGACAAAAGAATGAGGATATTTAAAATTAATACAAAATTTATTTATATGTGATACAAATGTGCGCAAATGAAGACTAAGGTAATGGAAGCAGAATTGAGTAAATTGAGGAATACTGACTGGCTAGAAGATCTACATTATATCTGTGACTAAATATGAAAACCATGTCAATGTAAATCCACAGTTCGAAAGTTCTGTTCAAATGTCTGGTGGTGAACCTTCCATAGTATTTTGCTTGTTGGTCAAATCAAATGTCTGGTGCTGGCATTCCATAGTTACTGGTCAGATCCAATGTCCAGTGCTGGTGTTGCATAGTTGCTGGTCAACCTTCCAATTTTAACCTGGTCAATTTTAACCAAATTGTATGAAATAGGCTATTTGAATCTGGAGAATATGCATGCAGCAATTTCCAGGTGAGTTAGGTTGACAGGAAAGCTGGAAGCAAGGACCTATGCTCAGCCAGAAGTTCAGGGCTGTTGTGAGCAGATCTGCTTAGAATGCTGGGAGATAAAGTAGCAAGGCTAAGAATGCTGAAAAGTAAGTGTCCAAGGTAGCCAGAAGTAAGTGTTGACAGACAAAAATGGGAATGTAATTCAATATATAAACCATTCAAGCATCCTGGACACAATGGCCAGGGGGCTTGCATTTCTTCTCCTCCTTCTTCTCTCTGTCTTGGGTTCAGCAAGAAGTCACTGAGTTATATGGAAAGAGAGTGTAAACCTTAACAGGTCCTGCAAAGTACTAAAAATCTCAAGAAAAATTAACTGAGATGTACTATGAAATATAAAAAAGTATAAAAATGTTCACAAAGTGTATTCTGACTAGGTTTGTAACACAGAAAGAAGCAAAAAGTCATTAGAGTTATCATGAAACTAAATTAACTTAAATTGAATGGTTATTGGCAATGAAATGAAAAAAAGGTCAAGATCATGAAGACATAACATCAGCCCTTGGTCATGTAGATGGAGTAGCGAAGGGCTACAATAATGGATGAAGAGGAGACTTGAGGCAATAGAGATGTGGTTCTCAAGAAGAATGTGGAAACTACTATGGATCAAGTATGTGAGCAACAAAGAAATTTTAAGAAAAATGGAAACAAAAATGAAAGTTGAAATTTCTGGGACACATAATGAGGAAGAAGGCCTTGAAGAATATGACACTCACAAGAAGTACTGGAGGCAAGAGTGACACAGAGAAACAATGATTAACCTACATAACAAGTTTGTGTAAATGTATATATATCAGATCAGAGATTAGGAAGAATAGCAAAAAAAAAGCAATCATTATTAAGAAGTACAAGGATAGGAAGTTATGGAGAGCCATGATAGTCCACTTTGTTGTATTGCAAAAATTCTTTCATGAAATATTTTTTTAAATTTGTATCATCTGTTCTTGTTTCACTTCAATTATATAACTCCAAAAAGGTAGGTTTTATTAAAATTTCTTTGTTATTTTCAAATTAAGCATTTACATTTACACATAAATGTAACTATTCGGGAAATTTTTATTAGATACTTAATATGGGGCTTAAAAAGCAAATTACCCCTTAAAAAAAGGTAAAAATAAACAAATATTAATGTTTAGTTGAATAATTTTAAAAATTTTCCATTAAAGTCTACTAAAATAGAACCAAATGTCATAGTCTTAATTCAAAAAAATTAATGAAAAAGGCATAGAAGAATGTTTTTATGTAAATTTAAATGTCATGTAATAAAATTTATTTCAATATTCTAAAAATGCAGTAAACAAAATTTTAACCATGCTGCTTAGTCATTTTTCTAGGTTCTTAGTATTTATTTATTTACTCAACAAGTTGAGCACAAAACTAAGTTTGGTCACAAGAAAGCTGAGATTAAAGTGCACTGCAGTGGATTGCCCCACCATGGGGCATTGTCTCAAAAATAGCCAAAGCCCTTGGCATTCCCCACAGGCACCTGGCAAAAACCTCAGTCCCTAAGGGAGGTGTTGCCTGGAAGAGCAGCACTCTGGAAGACAATAGCTGATCTTATGTTGACAAATGCCAGAAGTTTTTATACTTAATTAACTCAATAATTAATTAAAAGATTATGTAATATTTTGCAAACCTTTGTTAACAATATACCCCAAAACGAATATACCAAATTCTCAGGTTTAAGACAACCCTCTAAAATTTCTGTTTTTAATTTATTGGTATGAGGGGAAGTAAAAGTGTAATTAATTTGGCTTGAAAAGTTACCCCTAAATTGAAGCAGTAAAAGAAATAATTGTACTTAAGAAGCTTAATCTATCATTTCAGATATTACCTAATTTCCAGCAATGCCCTGAAAGTGTTGCAAAAACAAATTACAGAACCCAGCAACACAATCCTGTGCATGAGATGAATAAAATATCAGTTTATCATTTTCCAAAAGACAAAGATGAGAGAGAGTGAAAGAGAAAATCAGTTCCAAATATCAATCTTAATGTTACAAACAATACAGTTATTTATCAACTAGACTGGACTTCAAATGTTGATACCATAGGAGTTAATGGAAAAATGCATCCCAAAAATCCACCATTTGTATGGCCAGGTGTGCCAAAGAGTCAAATGCCAACACCTTCTGCTCTTCAAAGGGATATAAAAAAAACCTTCAGTACTGTTGAAAATCAAATTGATGATGAATTGCTTTTTAGAATTAGATAAGATTAATTATACAAATTTGAAAGAAAGTCTAATCAACAACAAAAAAGGATTTGTGCATCCAGTTGTAGAATTTTGGCTGAAAATATTTTAACTGTTCAGTCATCAAAAGTTATCGATAGTATCTCTCTCTTTATGTTGAAAATTTATAAAAATTTACAGTTTGAAACCTTTCAGTATGGAGTTAAGTTTTATATTAGCAGCCTGACCAAAAACTGTATAAATATAGTTGATACTTTGTCAACATTGGAAGAAATTATCTGATATTTAAATTCTATGGCTTTTGATCACAAGAAGGATATCTTGAGTCAGCACTTTTCAACAATGGCCCCCAAAATAAATGGAATGAAATACAGCTCAGATATAGTAATTTGTGCTTTTGAGTACTATACAACATCACGGTCATTCTATATTAGATTAAGACAGGATTTTCAATTACCATCATTCGCAACATTAAGAAGGATAATGTCAAAAGTTTCAAAACTTAATAAGAAAAGAAAATCTTTGCTATCTGTATTTAATACACTTAATGCCAGTCAAAAAGGGTGCATAATTCTCCATGATGAAGTATATATCAAGAAAATGTTACTATAAGGCAAACAACTATTTGGTAAGTCAGTTGACAATCCATCTTTACTTGCTTAAACAGTAATTGGTATAAAGTTGGTATGTCTTAATGGGTTGGTCCAAAATGTCTTACAAGATTGATTCCAATTTCAAAATTAACATCAGTCTTTTTATTTGAACAAATTGGGTTAACAGTTCAGGCCATCACCTCTGTATCAGCTGATGTAAAGGTTATTATATATGATGACAACTGAATAAATCTAACTTTTTTTTAAAATTATATCCCCCACTCCCTAAAAACCTTGGTAACTGAAGATAATAAATATTTGTTTTTTGATTATATTCATCTACTGAAAAATATTCACAATTTGTGGCTCACAGAAAAGACAGGAGAAGTAATCTTTGATGGTAATAGAGTAAAACAAATTGCAAAATTGGCACATCTTAAACAGTTATATTGTTTTGAATCAGAAAGACGAGTTAAACTTTGAAATTTAAATGAAATTTCCATTGCTCCAAAGCCCATAGAGAGAAAATGGGTTTCTACTTGTGTGTTTTCAGAAAATACATATAATGCATTTCTCACTCAGTCTGGAATAAGTGCAGATAAGAATGATACTGCCATCTTCATAAACAAGGTTTTGACATAGTGGAAAATTTTAAATGTTAAGACCCTTCAAATTAATAAACTATAGAATGACCCTCTACAAGCTGAAATCAGATCTCGAAATGACAGCCAACTTGATTTTATGAATGAGTTTCATCAAATGGCTCTTAATATGGCTGGCAGTCAAGGTAATCATATTATAGTGATCATCATCATCACACACACACACATACATACATACACCCTTACAAATTCAAATCTTTAACAGCATTCATTCATTGGACAGAAAGCAACGCTGCTATCTGAAGCAACAATTTTAAAATAGCTATATTTTCATATAGTAAATTTTGTGCACTTTTGGGAGAATTGGCTCCCATAAGTCTCCCCAAAACTCGGGTACTGATTGGTCAGTATCAACCAATAAGATTCTCTGCATGTGGAGAATGATTTTTCCCACGCAGATTCCTAATTCGATGACTACCTATATAGAACTAAAGAGGACCAACACCAGTGAGACTTCGACTGCTACTGGAATCCATGTCAGTTGAAGACATGCGCCCATCTTCTCACTCACTCTCAATTTACATATTCTATCACATTTACATAATTTTCCTCTTGCACGGCAGAACTGTCTAAAACATTTATAACAGACTAGTCAAAGAGTGACTACTCTCGTCTGACTCATTGCATGCTTCTTTTTCGTATATATTCTTTATTGTACGCTTTGAATACGATTTACATATATATTGATACCTTAGCCTTGTCTCTTGTTCTTATATCAGTTTGGGTTCCTAAACAAAAATTAAATAAATGTGGTGTGACGCCTAGACGCGCTACATCTCATTGATAACTCTGACGTTCGTTTGGAATTCCGCCACATTTTTATTGGTGACCCCGACGTGATCTTAAGAAGGGCCACATTTTTATTGTTGACCTCTGACGTCCACTTGGAACCCCACCGTTTTAGGAAATGCTGATGTGATTTGCATGCGCTACGTCCCGTTTATCAAAGTCCACACAAAGACTAGTTGGCTTGTATTTGTCCTGCAGGAGAAGACACTAAAACTTCACTGTTACCCCATTCGTCAGTGAACCTTGTAAGAGAATTATGAGGAATATCTCGGAATCAGCACATGTACTTGGCGCGCAAAATTTTTTCGTCACCACGTGCGAATATTCACGCAACTCAACATGGGTCATCTTGTTCAGCCCCAGAAAGTGACGGAGCTGCAGTGCCGTTCAACCTTCCCGTTTTTAAACACGATGAATGTTCATGTTTGGTTCTCGCAACTGGATGCAATATTTTAGGCTAAGAGAATCCAGTCACAAACTGCTCGTTTCGCTTATGTAGACGAGAAACTACCTCCCGACATCGCATCAGAAGTTTCTGACTATGTTAGATAACGTCCCAACAGAAAACCCATTCGACGTTCTGAGAGAAGCTAAGAGGATAAGGAAGTCAGAAGAACGTCAAATCAACAACTTATTTAATACGCTTCAACTCGACCAGAGCAAACCCACCCAACTTCTACAGAAGATGAAAAACCTTCTGGGTAATAACACCATGTCAGAGGTTTTGCTACGGAAACTCTGGCTAGACAAGCTCCCGACCTACACCTCGCAAATTTTGGCAACACTCCCTGAGGACTACTACGAGTGGCTGCAATAGCCGATAAAATCAGGAGACAAGAACTCTTAACAGCACTTATATTTCTTCGACGGACAGCACACCACATGATGATATTCTACAGACAATACAGCAGCAGATCGACAAACTGTCCACGCAACTGGAGCGACTGAGTAGAGTGCGTTCGCGTCCAGCATACAACGCATACAAGTCTTGACACCATAGCAGAGCTAACTAGAACATTAGGATTAAACCAAACACTGATATTAGCTGGTACCACCAAAAGTTTGGACAAGCAGCGAGACATTGCCTTGCCATTTCAACGGTCGATCAACAGTCAACACCTACTACTAAAAAACAAGCGGGAAAAAGCGTTCCCAACAGCGCATGAAGGTGGCGTCTGCTGTTGGGGGAAATCGAGCTAACCATCTTTTTTTTGTTAAGGATACTAACTCAGGCGAGTTATTCCTGGTGGATACTGGAGCTCAGGTCAGTGTACTGTAGTCCTACCCAGAGCTAACACTACAACAGGCGTATCGCACCCGGCCGGAAGTTACTGCCGGCTACTCAAACGTCTGAAAGCGTCACCGCCGAAAACAGCCCGAATGCCGTTAATTTCCGGTGATTCAGCGTTTTCAGAAATTAAAACACAAAAAAGCAAAATAAAATGAAACAAACATACACAACTAAAAATAATGACGAAAAACTAATTTATATACACATGGTGTCCAAATGAAACCCATGTGTACATTCAAAATGTGGAAGTCAATTTTTAGTTGACAACCAAAAGATATTGTTAACCAGGCAACGATACTAAACCACCTTCATATGCGATAGTCCTTCTAAGGACTACCAAACCACATTCATATGCAACCGCCCTATTAAAGACGAACAGGTTACCTCAACACGGCCTACTACGATCGTCTCTCTTCATGAACGCCGACGCGGTCCTATTACTGGTGAACATCCGAGGATCAATCTGGACCTCAGATACACCATTTTCCATCTGCCTTCTTCTGAGCTGCCGCCCTGAACCAAAACAAACGATCCTTCGACTGACACTCTCCGATTTCACGTCTGAAGAACTCCAAATTTCCTGTACATACTTTTGCCAGATTATTAAATAAAATTTGGCTTAAATTTTGAAATCCTCGCCTTTGTTGTCCTTGCTTCGATCGTATTACCCTACGTAATTTTTCTGCTTGTGGGGTTAACAGCACCTGCTTAACGCCGCAACAGGCGCATCAACATATATCCTGCGTGCAGCAAACGGTACCATGATTGAGACGTGTTGTGAAGTGGAGGTTAGAACTAATCAGTTGCTAGACTTGTACTTGCTAGTGGTTATTCTCAGTAACCACTTATTGAATGTTCAGTTCTGCTTATGCAAATTATGCATACTAATTTGCTAGTATCACTACAAGACATGTGGTCAAATCTCTCTCACACTTAACATCAGTTTAAGACGATCATTTCCGTAGTTGTTCACTGTAGCACAGGTGAAATTTCCTATCCTTGAAGCTGACTTCTTAGCCCACTACAAGCTCGCCGTGAACATGTCTAACCACACCCTAATCGACCAGACGATGCACTTACAGACATGATTTCCACATATATATCCACTAAGATCTGCACCGCACTCCTAGAAAACAACCCATTACAGCACGTCTTAAATTCCCGGTACTGACAACACCTTTCACATATACGGAGTTCGTCAAGTACAACACTGTACATAGGATTCAAACTTCAGGACCTCCTGTTTTTTCATTTCCTCGCAGATTAAGCCCGGATAAGTACAAGTTAGCGAAGGCTGAATTTCAACACATGTTAGACCTCGGCATCGTACAACCGTCATCCAGCCCCTTCGTTTCCCCACTCCATATGGTACCTAATACACAATCAGGGGCGTGGAGACCCCGTGGAGATTTTCGACGTCTTAACGCACAGATTGTGCCGGATAAATATCCTGTACCAAATCTGTCAGATTTTGCAGTAACGTTTCAAGGTGCTCAGATATTTACGAAGCTGGATCTACGGAAGGCATTTTACCAAATTCCGGTGACTACGGAAGACATTCATAAAAGTGCAATAACAACACCTTTCTGTTTATACGAGTTTTTGCGAATGCCGTTTAGACTACGGAACACATCACAATCTTTCCAGCGGCTAATAGATGAAGCCCTTCGCGGATTACCATATTCCTTTGCCTACATCGACGACCTGCTGATAGCTAGCAAAGACATGAACGAACAGTTTTCGAGCGACTCAACCACTTTGGTCTTAAGATTAACCCTGATAAATGTGTATTCGCAGTACCCAGGCTAGTTTTTTCTCGGACACAAGATAGACGGTACTGGCATTACACTCGTCGTCGATAAATTAAAAGCAGTACAAGATTTACCACTGCCGACAACGCTTCGACAGCTTTGCAGATTTTTAGGAGAAATTATAATGATTTTAAGATCCTATTTTTTCATTTTATTCTTTATTATATTTTGATGTTTATGAATTGTTAAAGTTATTTTATTTATTAAATTTTTAAAGTACTTAAATTTTTATTACTTAGATAATTGTACACCAAGGGCTTTCCCATAGGGGAGACAAAAGAAAACGCATGATCTTTTAACCATAATATCACTTGCGAGACACCATACCAATAAATAAAAATAAACATCGTGACGCACAAAAAAAAAAAAACTTTTATTATGGTAAAAAGTTTTGGTAGCGTTATTTGTATTAAACTTTTAATTTTCACTTAGTAAATATCGTCTTCACTTAAAAACCTAATAGCCGACCAAATGCGCTGCAAGAAAGAATTTTAAAACATTTTTGAAAATTAAAGAAAAAAATGAAAAAAAAGGGAAAAAAAATAAAAGAAAAATGCAAACAATTGTTGTAAAAATTCTATATTCACCGAAATTTTATTTTTTCTTCAGATAATAATGTCCTTAATTTATAAAAGCAAATAAAAACTTATCTAATTTGATAATTAGATAGTTTATTGCAGTTTTTATTTTTATGATTTGGAGCAGATTTTTTAAAAAATTGGAACTAGTTGTGAAAAACTAAATTGGTTATTTAATTTCTCCAAGGAGTCCTCTTTATAAGAAAAAAAAAAAAGTTGCAAACTTTTTGAAATTCTATAAAATTTCATAAAATTAAATTTGGAGGTAGTAACAATGTAAAAAAAAAAAAAAAAAAATTACCAAGATTTTCTAAAAATAAAACTTTCAAAAATAAATTCATTCATTTTTTAATAGGTTCTGAAAGTTTCATTTTAATTAGACAATTATTTGATTTTTGCAATGATTTCAAAATTAATGGGTTCTCACCCGAAATTGCTACACTAAAAAAAAAGCGATGACCACAAGTCGTACGGTTTTAAAAAAAAGAAAACGAGATGTTTGACCCAATCGTCAGTTCATCCCTAAATGTTCACAAATACTGGCACCCCTGACAAATCTACTCCGTAACCAAGGGAAAAATTAACGCCAAAATTACACTCAACTCAACGGTGAATCACTCACTGCATTCAATGAAGCTAAAGGACACTTTAGTGAACTTTACTAAACTTACTTACCTTCAAGAAGACGATAACACACATCTCTTACTACCGGCGTTTCTTCAGAAGCAATTGAAGCTGTTTTACATCAACATACAGGCGAGGTAATTAAGCCACTTTCATTTTTCTCTGTAAAACTTACTCCTCCCGACCCCCCCCCAAAATACAGCACTTTTTCATGTGAGCTACTAGCTATTTATACAGCTATCAAACACTTTCGCTATCTTTTGGAAGGACGTAATTTTACCTTTTTTACGGACCACAAACCTCTTTTATTCACGCTTTACATGCTAAGAGCGACAAGTATAACCCTCTTCCTTACCGACAGCTTTCCAATTCACGACGGATATTCAATACATACAAGGGAACCACAATACTGTTGCTGATACCCTTTCGCGTGCGATTATCAACGTATACTAAACAACCATTGAATTTTGACACACTAGTTGACGAACAAAAAAGGGACGATACTCTGTCAGACCTACAAGCTGACACATCATTACGGATTGAGCCACGTCCCGTGCCCTTTAGCAGTAAGCAATTATTATGTGACACCAGTACAGGTCATCCTCGACCTTTAGTTCCTTCTTCTATGAGAAGACAGATATTCGACCACTTCCATTCACTATTGCATCCTGGAAGGCGGATTACAACAAAGTTAATCACTGAACGTTTCGTATGGACTAAGATGCGTTCTGACATTAAACGATGGACTCAGACTTGTGTCACATGCCAGCAAACCAAGGTACACCAACATGTCAAATCAGCCTCTGGACACTTTGCAGAACCTGATGGCCGTTTTCAGCATCTTCATGCAGACTTGGTGTGTCCGTTACCCGAAATTCACTGTTATCAATTACATCTTAACGATAATTGACAGATTCACCCAATCAACTTCATTCAAAGAATTTGTGAACTTGGAGCTACTCGCATCTCAACAACGGCATATCATCCTTGTGCAAACGGCCTTGTTGAGAGGTTCCATTGTCAACTTAAGCTGCATTGACAAGTTCCGACCCAGCCTAAACTTAGTTGGAGAAATTACCATTAGTTATGTTTTCATTACGAACCCTAATGAAGGAAGATCTTCAGTGTACTCCTGCTGATCTTGTTTTTGGTACATTGCTTACATTACTAGGTTAGTTTCTGGACACTTCTATAGAACCAACTTCTACTTTTATACAATACCTTCAACACAGAATGTCATTTACCTCTACACTCTAAGGAGATTTATTTTCCCAAATTTTTGCAAGACTGCGACTACGTCTTCGTTCGACAAGACACAGTAAAGAAACCAGTAACCCCTAATTACTCTGGACCTTTTAGAGTACTTTCACATCATCCCAAGCATTTTACCATCCAGACTTGCAATGGTCAGTCAAACATCTCTGTCGACCGTTTAAAGCCAGCATGACTTGAACAAGCCGCAAAACAACTCAATTCGGATCAACAGCAATCAGCATCATCTTCAACATTGTCAAACCAGAATCAACAATCCACTTCACAGACAGAACCACTGTTTATAAAAACAGGTAGGAAGGTACATTGGCTTTCTAAATATCGCTCATATGTGACATATTGAAGAATTATGTTATAATCCTCCAATCTCGAGGGGGTATTATAGCGATCATCATCATTACACACACGCACACACATACACCCTTACAAATTCAAATCTTTAACAGCATTCATTTATTGGACAGAAAGCAATGCTGCTATCTGAAGCAACAATTTTAAAATCGCTATATTTTCATATAGTAAATTTTGTGCACTTTTGGGAGAATTGGCTCCCAGAAGTCTCTCCAAAATTCAGGCACTGATTGGTCAGTATCAACCAATCAGATTCTCTGCATGTGGAGAATGATTATTCCCATGCAGATTCTTAATTTGATGACTATCTATATAAACAGAACAAAAGAGGTCCAACACCAGTGAGACTTCGACTGCTACTGGAATCCACGTCAGTCGAAGACATGCTCCCATCTTCTCACTCACACTTAAATTACATATTCTATCACACTTACATAATTTTCCTCTTGCATGGCAGAACTGTCTAAAACATTTATTGAATACAATTTATATATATATTGATACCTTAGCCTTGTCTCTTGTTCTTATATCAGTTTGGGTTCCTAAACAAAAATTAAATAAATGTGGTGAGAGGCCTAGACATACTATATCTCATTGATAACTCTGACGTTTGTTTGGAATTCCACCATGTATAAAACAATTATCTAAACACACTGATACTACCATACACTATACTTGCAACAGAATTATTAGTCTACAAGCCATAAATATTTGCTACTTGAGTAATTTACAACTGATCCATTAGCAAAAGAATTTAGTAAACTTCATCAAGGATCAGGTGGCACCTATTTTATAAATGTCTGACAATGTATTGAAAAGCTGCATATTAAACAGACATCTTTACTTTTAAATCAAAATGTAAATATTGATGCTTTTGATGCTAAGCCAGGTCACCAATGTTCATCATGTGATTATAAACTTTGTGAGGAAGGTTCAGAAATATTTGACAATCAGGAAAAATTTAGAACCATCTCTTTCTGATGAAATAAAAATGGCTCTTGTGTACATAGCTGGATATATTACAAGAAATGATAATCAACTCAGTGAATATGAAACTCATTTTTATTATGAAAAATATGGAAAATATACCAATTCAATTGACCGTGGAAAATCTAAGCTTCATTCTAACCACACTTGCAAATGGTTATTTTTTTGTTTGATCTTTTTCCATATAATAAAAGAAAAGGTGTGTTGTAAATCATTAAGTAACATTTTTATGTTTACTTCTGAGTTTCATTTTTTCAACATGGAGAGAAAGCATGCTTATATTTTTGCAAATATAGTTTTGAAAAACTTTTGTGCATCCAGATCAGACAAAGAACCAACTTTAAAGGTTTTGAAACTTTCATAGAATGATTTTGTTTCATTTGTCTGTATTTCTGAGATGATAAACACTTCAGCTGATGCCTTCCATCCTTCTTCAGGTACTGCTTGTTGAGCTCGGTAAGTTTAATGAATGGAAATTTGAACTGGACTCTTTACTCAATCCCTGGGGGCAGATTGAATAACAGGTTCAGTAAGACCTGTAATTAGTGTAAATGTTTCTGTTTCAACATGATGTAGATCATATCTTTTACCAGAAATTTTAACTACTTCTATGTTTTGCTTTATCAGTATCCAGAACAAAAATACATATTTCCATTCATTTATCTTTCAACACATCCTATTATCCTTAGGTATGGGTCAAAATGCTATGCTAGGAATTTTCAAAAATAATTAATTTTCTTCCAAAATTTCTGAAAATCATACATTTTTCAATAGACCTCCAGTTCTGGCTCTCAACTGCACCATGAGCAGGCCTCTAATAGAGAACACTATAGCTTTAAATAACCTGCAAGAAGTTGATAAACCATGAAAAAACAAATAAATCAACAAACATTTTTTCTTTTCCTAATGTTTCTATATCTCATCTTATTGGCCATAAAATTGTATAGTTTAATAATCATAATTCACAGAACTATGAGAAATTGATCTATACAATTTTAATGCTTTTATATCTTACAAATATTTTTGTATTTTAACTTTAGAACATTTTAGATATTTAAAGATTTTTTTAAAAAGTATAACAAAAATGTGTTGAATTAAAGAAAAAGAATTGTTTGGTATAGAGCAATTCATATTAAATGAAATTTTTATTATAGAAATTTTCTTTATAAATTAAATAAATGAATCCAGAAATACACAGGTATATTTATGAGTCTAATGATGAAGAAAAGTCTATTTTTACAAAAATATTTTTCAGCATAATCCAATACTTCTTCATCAAATATTGTACAGTGAAAAATTCAGATCAAAATTCATCAAATCACTGTATTTGGCTATGGAGTTATTGATCTCTCTTGAAATCATGTGAGTACTTTAGAAATCTATATATGATATGGACATGAAACAAACACAAAGTGTAATTTTGTAAATATTTTGAAATTTATTCACTTCAAAGTTTTATTTTCTTCTCTGGGACCTCAAAATTGATATACTACCATTACTTGGCATTGTCTGATATGATGCAAATAATATTTTATTAGTTCATCACAAACAACGTAAATTTACAACTTGTAGTTCCATTATAACAAAAGCAGAAAGTAAGACATCTTACCTGGTACATTTAAAGCATGCCTTGTGGTAAACCACTCCTTTGATGGAAACTCTATCCACTTGGATACTAAAGCCACAGAGACTACACTGATCAGAGGGAGATGTAGTCATTTGGCGCCTGGGGAGGCTGTGATGGCCAAAACTGCTAGAGCTTAGAGTACTACTTGTGCTTTGGTGCATTTGTGGAGGGCATGTCAGTGGACGTTGATTGCATCCATATTTTTTGACACTGCGCAAACTTACACCTTCCTCCTGGCCGGAGTCAAAAAGCTCATCTGAAAAATGAAAGAAAATGAATGTAGTTATTCATGCCTCAGACAAAATATTTCATTTTGCTTGAAAACATTTTCAGTAAGAGGAAAAACAAAACAAGATATCTTATATTGTTTCAAAAATGATTTACAGAAGAAAAACAAAAACAATAAGTCTTTAATTGAACATGTGACGTTTTCACAGAAATTGATTAAATTCAGAATAAAATTCTGTGGTTTGTTTACATAATATATGTACTGAAAATAGAGCAGTAGCAAAATCAAAGATTTAATATTGTCTGTATATTTTAATACATATATTTCTTTTGATAGTAGTGGTTGTTGCCAATTTCACATTTTAACTTTTAAATAATAAAATTCTACTGTATACTTTCTCAAAAAACAATTCAAACCAATGAAAATTTTCAGCCATCATTTTTTTTATCTACATATTTTTTTTATTTTTGTAAGCACATCTATACTGTTAAAATTTGTAATATTTTACTTTAAACTGTTGTTGTATAATAGTAAGAAGTAGCAACCTTACTATTTGTACCAGCATGCTCATGTAGGTTATTTTATACACATTTCAACCATTGTACCTTCTGGCCTTCTTCAAGAAAGCAGAATGAGAATAATCTACTCTTGCGGATTGAATAAAGAGTTTGGTTTGAAATTCTCAAAAAGTTACTGATTACAAAGATGGACACCTGAAGAAGGCTGGAATGTAGAATGACCCAAAATACTATGAATATAACAACCAAGAGAAGAATGCTGATTTGACCAGCAAAGCATATAATATTGGTAATCTTAAATGGTCTTCTGTGGTGAAAATAAAGCAAACTGTCACAAATTCAATAAGTTGCACATCAAAATAGTTGTAAATCCACTCTCCCAACAGTTGGCTTTCTTGTTCCTCTCTTGTTCATTGTCATTGACTTTATATGGGTTCAAAGACAGGTATGTTAATCCATAGACAGGTATGTCTGGGTTATCCAATCAATCAGGGTTATTCCAGTTATGAACTCTCATCAGGATGAAATGCTTAATCATTTCAACAGTCTGCTAAGTAGGAATGAAAACTTTCACTTTCTTCCATGATTTGTTATAGAAAATAGGAGAAAAAGTATTGGTATGTTAAAAACAAAAAGTAGTTGTTATCACCTTTTGTCAAACTGAAACCAACAACAAAAGATTCATCCACAAAAAAATTTGTTATGTAACAGGTATCCCCCATTATTAGTTGATAGATGTTGTTACAAGCAACATTACAGGCCTTTATTGTCAATGACTTGGGGATGTCATTTGTGCCTTTTACCAAAAAGAAAATGACTTTGGTGGACAGAAAGAGTACCATCTCCATCAGTAAAATAAATCCAAGAGAAAATAAACATAATGCTGAAGTATACTGTATCCTTCATACTCATCAAATTCAACCATAGAAGAATTGTTAATGACAGGGTGTAACCAGAAATAAGGAAGACATAATTCTAGCTTTCTTGGTTTTCTTTTCATAATAAAATCCCTGAATAAAAAAAAAATGTATTTTATAGTGAGTTACTGTAATTGTGAATAACTTGAAATTTGATTGATTACTAAAATTTTTATTTAGTTTCAGTTTTGTATGAATTAATTTTTATATTGCATTATTACTTTTGGTACAATCTAATGTAAAATCCATATTTTTGTTTGGGAATACCAGGTGCTATGAGCTTGGATGTGCAGGTTGTGTCATGAATAATATTGGAATAGGAGATTGGTTTTGTTACATTCACTTATGTGCAAATACCCCTGGGAAAGGTATGAACTCATCTCTTCTCTCTTCAGCTATGGATTAATTATTACAACTTGTATGCATAAATCATAATCTCCAAAACAAATTCTTACAATGTAAAAATATTTTCTGGCTTTAAACAATTTTCAATCATTTAGATTAGAGAAGAATACAAGGTTTTGAAGTCAACTAAATAACCCGTAAAAGTACATTTATACCTTAATGAGACAAGAACAGAATAAAAACTGCTTTCTCATTCTCTAGTCTTTGAATTAATTGTTTTTTATTGTCTTTAGGTACAAAGTAAACTTTGATGATGTCTAACAACTTAAAACTATGATATCAAATAACTTACAAAAAGAGTCTACATCTTGGAGATAAGCATTTTCAACATACCTGATATTTTCTTTATCTTATTTAACATTACCTGAACAGTTTTTGCATAAATAAAATCTTTTCAATATGAATCTCAATATATTTGTTGAACATAATTGACTTAGAGACTAGTTATTCTTTAAAATCTATCCTATTAAAAGTGGGTATTTTTAGGATAGAAAATTTTGCTAATATTTGTTGTTGCTTTCAAGATCCATTGAGTAAAAAGCTTTGAAATTTGTGTCAATGTGTCAAGAGATATTCTTCACTTCTTCTATATTCATAATCTTTCCCTTAATTTCCTTCCTCCATTTTTTTGCTCATTTTATTTCCCATTTTCTTTTTCTCTTTCAATTTAATCACTTTGGGAATTTGTTTTGTATTTTCTTAATCTGACCATTCAGGACTTTTTTCTTCAGTCTCACAACAGAAAGATAAAATTTTACTAAAACACAAACATGTATATGTAACTGTACTTATAAATTTAATAAAGATTTTACCTGAGGTATCAGGTTTATGTTTATCTAAAATCTTTCCTAAGAACCTTTGACTTACTAGTTTGTGCATTATACTGGCAAATGAGATTTTATATTTCATTCAAAAGTACCAAGTTAGTGAGGTTTGTTACCAAAACTCTATTTGTATAACAAATATGTCAGTTCAGATTGCAAGGAGTTTCATTTGTATACAGAAATTGAATTTAAATTACCATATTGGCAAGATTCATTAATTCTGCTGAGATGAGGAAATGGTATCACATTCCAAGCACTTACTGCTTTATTAATGTGGTTGTTATAACAATTTGATATTTCTAAATTCGTGTTCTTAAGTGGATTTAACAAAATATTGATTTTCTAAAATAAGGTATTTTACTTGTAGAATAGTAAACAGTGTCATTATGTAAGGCTCTTGATTTGTAGTTGTAATGGTTATTTTATTCACATATGACAGCTAAGAGAATGCAGTCTATGCTTAGCTTGTAATAGATTTATATATTTTTTTTAAATATTAGTAATATTATGATCTGATTTATTCAAGCTAGTATACTCATTTCATGTTTGTTATACAGGTTTCATCTTATTTTCTCATAGCTCACATTTCTTCCTAATGGTTGATATTTTTATGCAATACTGTCATTGTATATGTAATAATCCACTTCTTGAAGTTAAAGTGACATTAACCCAAAGTAACCTTAATATGTCTATTGAGTGAATGTTGTTTTGAAGGATACTTGATGTTCAGCACTCACTGAGAACTTGACACACAGAAAATTGGTTGTGATATCTCAATTAGTTTCTATAGAATTCTAGTTCTTCTGCACATAATTTCAAATAAATTAGGGTTATCTTTAAAATACTGTGCATCTATTTCCTAAGTATATTTAAAATTGTAAGACAAGGCCTAAACTATACAATAGGTTTATTAGAAAAGAATTGTTTCACTGACATGAGTACAATTTCAAAATATCATTTAATTTTAATTGGTAATTTCTCTTGGAGTCATGTGGATAGAAAAGTTATAAAAACTTGATTCTTTTTCATCTCTTTTGAAAGTCTTCAATTCAGTTTCTGTGGCTATAAAATATTCACTATATTCAGCTAGGTTTTTGCTTTAATATTCCGAATAAAATTGGGTGATATTCAGTGTGACTTATTTATGAATCAAGTTAAAATAGAGACAAACAATTATAACACTGTAAGGTTGAAAGGACATGAAGAGATGTAGTTTGTAAACTAGATTAGGTATAGCTGATCATGTATGGAGGGAAAAAGGGCAATTATCAAGTACTGTGCAATGAAACCAAGATAATAGACTTAGAACAACACTGGAGGATAAGATTACTGAAAGAATCATAGTAAATGTCAACCACTCTGACAAACCTCATCAGTAGACCTAGTGTAGCAATATTTGAGAGATTTTAAACAAAAAAAAAGGACATTTAAAAATGGCATCACCTGAATACAAATATTAAATTTAAGTCTCCAAAATTATATCAATGAATTGTCTAAGGGACAAGTGGATTAAAAACCTAGTGTATTAAAGCACTGGTTAAAACAAATCTGATTTCCTGGTAATCTTTAATTCAACCCATGAATTAAATAGTGCAGAAAAGTCATTGGTTCAGTGACAGAAAAAAAACAAGAGACACAGAACTAACTGATATGATATTTTGTAACAATGAAGAAGCAAAATGAGAATAATTTATCCATATGGATAGAATAAAGTGTTTAGTTCAAAATTTTGAGAAAATTATCAGTTACTGAAGAAACCCATGAGGTATAATGGCTGAAACATTTTGACAATAACATCCAAGATTAGCATACTAGTTCAGATAGAAAGGCATATAACAATAATTCATCATTTAACAAATTCCAACAAATTTAAATTAATTCATCAAATTAATTAAATACATACTACAGTAAATATGTTCCCAATAAATCTGTTATCTGTCTTGGAGTGAACTTTTTAAGGACTTCTGGAAAATCTGAGTTTTAAATTTTTAAATATTCATCAGACAAGTCATTTCTGGAAGACATTTCATACAATTATATGAAATCATGCATGACAATCAGAAGATAAAAGAAAAAGATACCTTTCTTATTTGCATGTTATGGATGATAGCAGAAATATCAATGTTTTATTAATAGAAAAATAATTAAGCATCATTTTGACATAAAATGTATCATAATTCTACACATATACATTTTATTCAAATATGTGTGAAGTATTTACAGCAATATACTCAAATTCATTGGCCAGGGGCGCCGATCAACGGGCTGTGTATTAAGTTACGCTCCCAATTTTTTTTGTCTGCCAACTTGACGATAGTTGGGAACTTTCTTTCTCTCTCTCCTTCCCAAACACGTCAAGTTGG